GAGTTATTAATTTAACAAAATTTAAATTGGTTTGAAAATATTTAACATTTTGAAAAATATTAGCAAGTAAAATATTTTAGACTTTTCAGAGCACTCTAATTCGTTTAAACCTACTCTATAATTAGAATTTATTACAATAAATGAAGATAAATAAGAGTCTACTATTTTTTTCAATCCCTTAGTCTCCAAGTATACTACAATATAATAACTTGCTTTCATACCAGAAAACGAAGTAGTAACTGACCCAAGTGATTCCCAATTCGGAAAGCGCTATTAGAAACAGAAATAATAAATTTGCATCATTACTCCAACGTTTTTTGTAGCTGGAAATAAAAAATTTTACACATTAGTTCAAAATTTAGTGTACATTTCTGAAGTTTAGGATTTAAAACAAAATGCCAAATTCTTTTTCCAAAATTTTGATAGCTTATTAAGTTGAAGTGGTTATTCATAACTGCGTAAATCAATGATAGTTGCAGTGGCGTACGCAAGGGAGGGGTTTAGGGGTCTAAACACCCCCATTGAGCTCAGACAAAATGGAAAAAATAAAAATTTTAGTAGAAATTATGTGGGCTGTTTTTTAAGACTATATATTTTAAATTGCCTCATGCCTACTTTTTTTTCCTCACGGTATTTCTCAGAATACTGAGAAAACATTTACTATAATAGGGTTGTACTTTTGAAACCAAATTCACGTGATACTGTTACGGNTTTTTTAAGACTATATATTTTTAATTGCCTTATGCCTACTTTTTTTTCCTCACGGTATTTCTCAGAATACTGAGAAAACATTTACTATAATAGGGTTGTACTTTTGAAACCAAATTCACGTGATACTGTTACGGACTGGTTCCTTTCTGTCCTGCCATTCGCGATTGTTTTTGAGACTGGCTGTCATTCGCGAGGTCTTTGCGCGATGATTCTGGAATCCAAGACGTTCTGTCGTCTTTGAGACAATTCGAGAATTTTGGAGATGCGGTGAAAAATTATATAAAAGGGGGAACGGAGTACAGTGGAGTTAGTACTTGCATATAGTGTAAATAATTTTCTTTTATCTTCAATTGTTTTTATTACTATGTATCAAATTGCAATTTTATTGTTATGTATAACCCAGACTTGAATTTTGATTTTCAACTGTTGTACATTATGAGATTTAACTTACTGTCAACACAGCACCCCCTTCCCATCCTCCAATTTATTTTTCTATTGCGATGAAAGAGTAGATATTCAACACTGGATAGGTACTCTGATAAAACTTGAATAGTTAGCTAGTGGTGTTAGTTAGTCAGACTAAGAGTTATCTCTGCCGCTTGTCGCTAAATCTGCTTTGTTTTGTCTTAACAAAAAATTCATTCAATCGCCGAACCCGTCGTCACCACTATTTCGACTAGTGAAGAAATCAGTAACAATACCTTAGGAGATACTGTTCTCGTTGAAGTTATTCATTCCAGCTCAAAACTTTGAAATCGTAGCATAGCGGATATTTCTGTGCCAATATATATATATATTTGCTGTTCTTGGATCTTTAGGATNATATTGGCACAGATCTTGATCTTTAGGATATCAAAACGCAAGAATTTAACAATTTTTAATCATTTTGAGAGAAAATCACGACCTGAAATTAGTGAGGTGACAGCATCTAATACCAATATAAGTTTTTCTGTTGTACGGAAATGTGATACTCCCGTTGAAGAAAATGTTTCTAGCATAACAAAATCTGATAAATGTAAAAGTGGCCCTCAAAGTGTCACTTCCCACCCGTATGACATTGGACTTTTTTCAGAAGATATTACATGCAAGAAGATATTACATTATGATCGTAAACTTAAAAAATCAAATCAAAATTTAACTAAACAATGTTGTCTAAATAAGAAGTCAAAATTATCCAGCTGTCTAAATTAGGGAAATAATATTGCTTTATTACATACTCGAATTTCTTTTAGTAGTTTCAGAAAATTATGAACACCCCCCTTGAAAAAATTCTGCGTACGCTACTGGATAGTTGATAAAACTATTTCATATAAGTATCACCATTGCATATTAAAGATGCTTAAAAGCTCTCATTAATAAACAAAGGCATTACAATGTATAATTGTTAAAAAAGATCTTGTTTTTTGAGTAGAAAACTGTTAAGTTAAAACTTCGAAACTATTGGGATTTTTAAATAACTTTAAATATTTTTTTAAAAAAACAATCAATAGATTTATGAACTTTAAATGAAAAGTTGGAAAAAAAACCCGATTGAAATACTATATTTCTAGAATTCATCTAATTGTTAATTTTATTTGAGAAATGGGGTAAGTTTAAAAATTTACGATAAAACAAATTATTATATTTCAAAGCAAGCATTTCTTAAAATTAATATATATTGGATGCATATAACTCAATATTTGTTTACAACACAAATTTCAATAAAAGAAGAAGTTTGTATTTCATTTAAAAAAACTTTTATAGTATTTCTACAGTTTTTGAAAAGCAAACAGATTTAAAATATGCTACCTTCGTTATATGTTCAATATTTTCTTTAAATTACAGTCACTCTAATCGTTCATTAAAGATTTTGAGATTAAATTGATAGAAATCAAATGTTTTCCTTTCATAACTTTTGTAATATTACAGTTATTAAAAATTTTTAAATATTTTTATTTTGGAATTGTTTTAAATATACTCACGTGGAATATGTCTAACAGATATTTTCAAAATTGAAGAATATTAATTTTATCGAAGGAGTAAACTTACGCTTTAGCTCTTGGCTAAATTTTTAAAAAGTTTGCCAGTTTGATTTTAAATGCATTTTAAATTCTGAAAAAAAATCGGTTTAATTTTCAGCATTGTTTATTTAGTTTAATTTTCAGATAAATATTTAAAACTAGCCAATCCTTTCCTTACAAGTACTACTGTTTTCGCATCGGCTGGGCAATATTCCTACGTTATAACTAAATTAATTATCCTACGTAATAATTAAATAATTATCCTATGTTAAAATAATTATCCTACTTTATAATTAAAAACTAAAGCGGCAGACGAAAAATGAATTGTAACAAAAGAATCAATAAAAATATTTTACGGAAGAAGGAAAAATAATGATATATGTGTCGAAGAAATCTAATACGGAGTAAAAAAAAATTAGTAAAATTACCATGCTGTACGGTAAAGGCATTTCTGATAAATAAAAAAAAACATAGTAACTAACCAATTTTTCCTTTTAAGTACTAACGCTTTTGCACCATCAGTGCAATGTTCCACACGCTATAGTTTAAAACTAATATGGCAGACGAAAAATAAATTATGACAAAAGAATGAATAAAAATAATTTTACAGAAGAAGAAAAAATAATGGAAGATGTTTTGAGGAAATATAGCACGGAAAAAAAGAATTCTAGTAAGCTGTATAGTACCGAGCTGTATAGTAATAGCATTTCTGGTTGGGAAAAAAACATTATGACTATCCTTTTCTTACAAGTACTATTGTTTTTTCATCGACAGTGCAATGCTCCACACGTTATCGTTAAAAAGTATAACAGCAGACAAAAAATATATTCTATCTTAAGAATGCATAGTAATAATTTTACAGAGGAAAAAAAATGACAGATGTGTTGAGGAAATATAAAACGGAGAAAAAATTTCAGTAAAATTACCGTACTGCGGATAATGACATTTCCGCAATCAAACTCAATTTAATATTTTTTGATAAAACCTTTTTTTGCACCCTTAAACATTAATTTGTAGCCCCCTACAGCTTAATTATTGACAAGGATTTTAAAAATATGTATTAAGAATAGAAATTATTTTTTTTATTTATGTCTTTAAATAAGTTCTAAAAACATATATTAAAGGCATATGATTACGGATCATCCAGTATATGAACCTGATATCTTACTACAAGGCTAATGTCAAATAAACATTTTTTTTCACGCAAAAAAGGGACACAATTTTTTGTTCGTACAAAAAAAAACTTACTAATTTTAAAGGAAAAGACCAAGAAAGCTTTTTGATATAATTTAATGTTGTCTGAAGAGCAAAACAGCGAAAAATAATAGAAAATGGGGAGAAAAAAATTTTAACAAATTATTGCTTATTTCATCTCTGTTAAGTGTAATTTTTAATATGATGCATTCAAGTTTTTTAAACTTAATTTGAAAACCTCTTTATTTAAATATTTTAAAGATTAATGCAATAAAATAAAATTCAAAATAAATCATTTCGATTTTTAATTTTCTGCACTTCATTGAACATAAAATGAACATAGATTTACCGAAATGGTGATATATTGAATAAATATTGCGCTTAAAGTTAGATAGTTATAAGTGTTAAGGGCTTTGCAAAGCGTTTTAAGGAGGGGGGGGGATGTTTAAAATTTGAGAAAGCTAATTCCATTCTTTTCGTCAATAGAAAATACCGAATTTAAGTGTCAACATATTTTTTGGTATGATACCTTGCATATTGTCAAATATTGTAAAAAAAATGTTTTTAAGGCTTCTCAGTTGTGTGCTTATTTGAGGATTAAGTAAATAAGAAAAATTAATTTAAAAAAGTGACAAATACCCCTCTGAAAAAAATTAAAGAAGTTATAAATTATTTCATTATTTATTCAACACGTAATGCAAACGATTACACCTAATTCAATGCATTTTCAATTAATTTCGTAATTTCTCATAAAAACGTTAACGTTTTGATAAGATTGTCGCTTTTATTTAAAAATAATTGCGCAAAAGTTTAAAAAAATTTTATGACAGTCACAGTTATGTACCTACTTTCTTATTATGTTTGTCTCCTGTTTGACAAAATTTTTTATATTAAACCCTATCACATTGCGTAGCATTTTTGATTTATAAAATAAATATTTTCAATATTTTTCAATAAATTTTGCATACTAAAATTTTTATAACTAATTTATAAACAACAATCAAAAATAAAGATCAATTTAGTAAAAGTTCTTAGTTTTCAATGTGCAACAAAAAAGGAGAAAATAATAATAGTGCGATAAGAAGAACTTCTCACCACTTTCAAATCAGCTAACTTGACGAAAGGCGGGAGATGTTCTCCTGTTTTTGGGAATGGAGTAGCTTTCCTGACTCCCGAAGTACTAACTCCTCGTGTTCCACAGGGGAAGGGGATCAGAGATGCTTGTCAGCGCCTTCTACGCATGCGTAGTAACGTCCATTTCGAGCAAGAAGTCGAAATAGTTTTGGCATTTTTCGGCACAGTTGTGACAAGTCCCAAACAGCTCTTAACTGATTCTTTCTTTATTTCTTTTCCTTACTTTTAAAACTGATCGGTGAAGAAACTTTTTTGGGAAAAATCTTGGCAGACGGATTAGGTCTACGCTTCGAGAATGTTTTTCTTTTCCTGATCTCACAAGAATACAAAATAGACGGACAGAGTGCTTATTAGATAGACATTTTAGTGTAGACGACTTTTATTCCAATGATTTTCGCGATTCTAGTAATCCATCATAATTTCTTTCTTATTTTTTCTCACTTTTTTACAGTTATGAGACGAATTTAATGCTTTAAATTTGTTCGACAAACAACTTTAGGGGACTATTTTAGCTAAATTTCTGTTAAGTTTTTAAGAAAAGACATCAAAGCATATGACCACGTTTTTCGTTATTTAAATTATTAATCTATTAATGTCCGACCTCAAAAAGTGACCTACCTATATGTGAAAATCACCGATATAAAAATAGTAGTTATACATTTAAATTTCTAGCAAGTGGATATTTCGATCTGTTGCCTACCACTTTAGCCTTAAAAAGGCAGCAATCACTTTGATTTCATACCCAAATTCAATTATTAATATACCATGATAGATAGGACTATCTCGTTTCTGCAAATTAATCCTAATAATGGAACATTAGTGCTATCACATTTTTTCTGTCTGCAGCAAAGGAACCGTCCTTTTAAAAGGACACTAGACGCAAATGGGTAATAAATGCACCAACCAAATCTCATCAGGTTTCTTTATATTCTTTGAAAAGTTTTCTCCGGCTTCTTAGGGCCGATTTTCAGTGATCTTTTTGAAGAATCCATTTCTGTAACAATGACTCGTATCAAAAGCCTATAAATATCTTTGCGCGCAAAAATTTTAAAGATAAATTTAAAGAAATAAAAAAATTTCAGCTGCGGAACTAGAATTTTTTAATTTAATGTTACATAAAATACCTAGAAAATGTACTTGAAAATTGCCTTACATCATATTTTACCTAAAAACAATATGCATACTTTAAAATGCTTTGGTATACTGTAAATTCTGCCCTTTTAAACATTGCCAGTAACACTTTTATTAGAGTGGAAATATTCTGTGATTCCTTGGTTCAAACTAAAAGATCAAAATTTTATTTTAATGAAGCAAAGAATATATTTTTGAAGAAAAATAAATTAACAATCAACTGTTCCTTAACATCTGAAATTAAATAAATTCTTCAAGTTAACTTTCACACTGTTAGAATTTTCATTTCAAAATTATGATAAAATTACCGGCAGCAGTCTGTCCATCCAATTAACCGTAAATTTTACGGTAAAAAACATTTTTTACCTTGACGGTTTTGAAACTGTTTACAACTAGTATGCTTAAAAAATCATGAATACAGAACTACAAGGTTTTTTAACCATTTACAATTAGCATGGTTTCAATACCGCGAAAAGGTAATTTAACTGGGTCCAGGAACTAGGCTTTTAGTTAGGAAATGGACATTGAAGAGTGCAGGGTTGAAATTTGGGAATGCAGGACACTGGAAACTCATCAAGTGTTGAAGGGAACTGCGGCATTATAGTGATGTAAACGCTGGGATTCGAACCCCGGTTCTGTAAGTCATAAGACTGACAGATTAGCCCTCTCGGCCATAATATGCATGCTGTGTCAAGGAACTAAGTGACTTTATTAGGTGGGCATAGTTGGTGCGATAAAATTCTGGTTGTTTAACAGTATTAGGTGAAAGCAGTTAATAAACAGTTTTTCTCACAGTTAACAGTTTGATTACTATCTTATTTATGGTTATTTGACTGTTCTGTTTGAATATGGTACAGAAGCATTTAAGTATATTGCTATTTAACCATTTTTTCCAAAAAATTTCCAGCAGTGCAGACTGATGATACTTCATAAATAATTAATTCTTTCCAAAAAAACACGTGAAAAAAAAGGGAAAAATCTTTTCCTATTTATTACCAGAAACTCCAGATTTATGTATTCCAAATAAATTTTAAAATCTAATTCATCAAGCAAACCAAAGCAGAATTTTTGCTAGACTCTTTAAATATTCTCTTTCTGCGAGTTTTATTCCTAAAAACGAACAACTTAGCATTTTTTCTGATCCCCCCCCCACGTTCAAATTTAATACTATCGTTTCATTTTAATATTTTATATATTCAAGCTCAAAGTGGGATATCCGGCATTAAGTATACCGAAAATCGATTGCGACAAAGTAGGAAATGATTGAACATAACTCTCATTGGATAGATATTGCATACAATGCAAGTGACAAACCGGGAAAGTAGGAAATTTAGATATTTAATGCATTTAATTAGTATGATTGCGTTTTATAAGTATTAGTTAAAGTAATTTTTTGATGCAGCAAGTATGTTCGCAAATTTGTATTGTTCTAAATAAGACAAGCAAATATTTTTATTTATTGCCATGTGCTATTAATGATAATCGGATTAACAGGCATATAAATCCGGCAAGGATATGTGGGCCATTGACTAATATTCACTTACCCGGAATTTCTATATTGATGTTTTTTAAATTGTGAAGGCAATTGTCCGGTATTCCCTGCATTGATATTTTTCTAATTGACTGCTAGTAATAATAATCAAATAAGCAAGTTAAAGTAAAAAGTGTGTCAGCTGAGGAATATTTTTTCAAGCAAGAAAACGAAAACAATAATGCACTGTTTCTGTCTTTTATAACTCCGATATTGCCTAAAGAACATTTGTCATTGTATACAATACCTAGGTGAAATATATATTAATCCTCATGTTGCATATTTTACCTGAAAATGCACAGAATTGTGAGCTATGCTGGAATTTTCCACTTAACCGGTAGCCTACGCACATCATTAATGACCATTATAAATTAGAGATTAAGTGTTTAAAAAGTATCACTTAAATAGTCACTTAAGGGCAGTGGTCGCTCAGGGGTAATAGCGCTCGCCTCCCAATGAGGTGCCCCGAGTTCGAATCCCAACGATGGCTGGTTGATTCATATTCCGCCCCCGGCTCGCATCAGCAACAATACTGATGTAAAATAACCTCAGTGGTAGACGGTTCATGGGTTAGAGTCCCCATGCCATCAGACTCACCGTCGGAGATTTTGTGGTTTTCCTCTCTATGCAAAGCAAATGCGGATTAGTTCTACTAAAAAATCCTCCAGGGAGGCAAGTTTCTCCCAATACTTGATCCAAGAGTTCCTTTGTCTTCTGGATTGGGTTCAAAACTGCAAGGCTACGAAGTTGAACACTAGTAGTCGTACGCTCGAAAATGGGTCGACTGTTCAACGACGGCTATAAGCTTGAAGATGCTTAAATAAATCTTCTTTTCAGATTATATAATTTTGATTTAAAAGAAAGTATTTCGAGCACCGGCCCCTAAAATGAGGCCTTTTTAATTTCAACAATATGATAAAATAGAAAACAAGATTTGCTGCCCACCCTTACAACGTTTCTAAAGAAAATATTTAGTTTAGTGTTATTACATTAACTATTAAAACGTTTACATTAACTATCAAAGCGTTTGATTTAATTTATTAATCAAAGCGTTTAATTTGAAAAAGAAACTCATATGAATTCGTAACTTATTAGAGGTCCTAAAATATTGTCGATAAATGCGTTTTTTTTTTTCGTTCCTTCTTTTTTTTTCTCTTTTTTTTATAGTTTTTTTCTTTGTAGGACATCATTCGTGGGTTTTTGATAATTTTTTTAGACTTCTTTTTCTTTTTCAGTCATTTTTTTATGAATTTTTAATATCTTTAAATTTAAGATCATTTTGCTTCTGAATTAATTTATTTCTTTTTATAAATTAGTATAAATTTTGCTCTGAAACTTCAAATTTTAAATATATTTCTGTAACAAATGTTGATGCTTGTCAGAGCTTTCAAGATATAAGAAATTGCTTTTGGACAGTAGGCATTCTTTCAATTTTAAGGATATCGATACATTGGATAATATATAATTAATAAATCCTAATTTATTTTTACCGGGTATTTATTTATATTGTATTCTGTTCCTAAGTTACATATTTATTTCAATTATTACTTATTTTTTATTAAATTTATAAATATACTAGCAACGAGTTTTATTTTTTGAAAAAAAATTTTATATAAAAATTGTTTTTTAAAAATTTTTAAAGCTATTATTTTTCATTCTTAGTTCATTCTTTATGGATTTTAGAGGCTTTTTGTAATTTTTTTAAGAATTTTAAAGTCTTCAATATTAACCCTGTTTATCAGAAAAAACATGCTATAAATATTTAAATTCGAATCAATATTTTAAATCGATGGTTTTAAGCGTTCAGTTGCCATTAAAATCTCCAGTGCAAGATCAAAATAAATCACAAGATAGCCTTTTAATATATATTGTCACAGCAATTATCTTTGAAGTCAACTGTTATTTTAACGCTAAAGAAAGTGCCATTATCTAGCATTTTTTTCTTCTTGGATAAATGCTAACTTTCAGAGGAGAGCAAATGGATTTATTTCTATATTGCCCTTCAAGAGGCTCTTTCAGAAATCTATATTTATATATATCTTTTCATTAAATTTATAAATATACAAGCATCGATTTATAATTTTTTAAAAAAAGTTTCAATATAAAAATTGTTTTTAAAAAATTTGTAATTATATTTTATTTTTTATGGGTTTTAGAGGCATTTTTTGCATTTTTAAAGACTTTTAATGTCAGTAACATGCTAACACTATTTATTCGAAAAAATCATACAATAAATATTTAAATTCGAATCAATATTTTAAATCTTTGGTTTCAAGCGTTCAGTTGCCATTAAAATCTCCAGTGCAAGATCAAAATAAATCACTATGTAGCCTTTTAATATATATTGCCACAGCAATAATCTTTGAAGTCAACTGTCAT